TAAAGTAAGTATAAGTTTAGATTCACATCAAATTCTGTGAGCTAAAATTATTGAGTAATTGTGTAATTATTTAATCAAATAATTCCTAAAACCCAAAAAGATATATTTTATATATTTCGGAAATACGGAACATCGCAAACAATTCAGCAACATGGTAATTAGGCTTTTTAAAGGTGGATCAATTCAATTATATGAGTGTACGGAAAGAATAGTTTTTATTGACGATGAAAATGAACAGAAAGCCGTTATTCTGAAATTTCATCTCGGAAAAACCTGTCACAGAGGTATTCAAGAAACTTTTACTCGCATCAGGCGACACTTCTTTTGGAATAACATGAAAGAAACTATATCAGCAGTAATTAATTCTTGTGAAGCCTGTAAACATATGAAATATGACCGAAAGCCTTTGAAACCATATTTACAGTTAACTCAAAAGCAACATGCCCCATTCCAGGAATTATTTATAGATATATTTAGTATCGAAGGAAAAACATACCTCACCTTAGTTTACGCTTTTAGCAAACTAAGACAGGCAATTGAAATTACTATCAAAGGCACACCTGACGTTATCCGCGCACTAATAAAATACTTTTCATTTTACGGCATACCTAAGAAAATAAGCTGCGACTCTGGTACTGAATTCAACAACGATCTATTGAAAGAAATGATGTCACTCTATAAAATCCAAATACATATCGACACACCTAGGAACCCTAATTCAATGGGAATAGTTAAACGTTTTCATTCCACCTTAATTGAAATTTACAGACTGACAAAATACGAACAACAATGTACCGACGCCGCATCTATTATATCACTCATCATGGCATATAATAATGCGATTCATACTGTAACAACTTTAACACCGTTTGAAGTAGTGTTTGGCCATGTAGATTCTGAAAACGCATTCAATATAGACTTCGAGAAACGATACTTGCAAAAATTAATTAAAGATCACGCCAAAAGAATAAAAGTTTTATACAAAATCATATCTGATAAAATGTTAACGTTTAAGGAAAACTCTAGAGAAAAACGCGGTGGCGAATCCGACGTCCCGTTACCAGAAGGGAAAACAATTTTCACAAAATTAATAAACACTCGTAGAAGTAAGTACAAACCTTGTTTTGAAAAGGCCATAGTTACAGGAAAACCTGAAAGAAACACTATCCCTATTAAAATTAGAGGTAAACACAAAAAGGTACCAATTAAAAACATAAAACGACCTCCAAAGGTGGTGCTTAGTGATCACGATGACACTCACGAGCCCCAGCTTGGGCCTTCAACTTCAAAAGGTTGAAAACAATTCAGGGATCCGTAAGACAGGGAACATCCTTCATCAAACAGGATAACTGGCTTATTTTTAAGGTATTAGATTTGAATGGCCTACTAATGGAATTAGAATATAACAATAGGAAATATAGTAATTTTAGTAAGATAGTAAGTGATGATAAGCCTTAGTTTAAAGAATTTTTAGGAATTAGGGAACAAGTAGAGTATTTGCAAAGAATAACTACTGAAAAGATTAGGCAAATAATCCCTTCACACCGAGTACGAAGAGGAATATTGAACCCTCTAGGCTCTATTATTAAAATGATAACTGGAAACTTAGATCAGGAAGATGCTCAACGATATGAACAGTTAATAAATCAATTAGGTAATCAACAAAATTTCCACAAACAAGCGTTTAACAGTTGTTTTTAAAATGTTAGATGAACTCATTAATTCATCAGAAATATTACACAATAACTCAAAAATTATGGACGAAAGACTAAAACGTGTAAAAAAAAAATGTTAAAAGACATAAGTACTAAAGAAAATAATGCAGTATACTCTACATATGTTTTAAGTTTATATAATCTTTTTGTAAGTAATTTTAGAACGCTTTATATAAAAATTAAGCGAATTAGAAATTGCTTTGGCTTTCACCAAAACCAATGTTTTACACATTTATTACAGATTTTAATTTATATATCACAGTCAGAAAATCTTATGTATCCACCCACTTGGGATAATTTAGTTAAATTAGAAGATACGATTAATGTTAAATCATACATGATAGACAGGAAAATAACTTTTGTATTAGAGGTAGCTTTAATAACCAATTCAACTTATAGTAATAAAATGTATCCCTTACCTATTACCCTAAAAACCTAACCTTAATAATCATTCCTAAATATCCCTATATCCTGGTGAAAGGTGTAACATACTTATCGCTTATACAGCATTGCAAACAAGTCTCTGAGGAAAATTATCTCTGCACACAAGAAAACAGGGGCACCGTATCCTGAAACGACATGCATTGAGGAGCTGATGACCTTCAAGGAAAACCCATCCAACTGTGACCAGAATACAGTAATTATAGAAGAGGTAAAGGTACAATAATAGTAATCAAATCATTATTCAAAATAATTGCAAAAATGAGATAAGCCGAAACTCTATAAAGGGAACATAATATATCATTACTATAGATTAACCCTGCGATCTCAACATCAATGACATCCAATTACATCATCAGCGTTCATATACAGAAAATATGTCATCAGAACGTATCCCATCCATTAAGCTGCTGGAGTTACAGTCAACAGTGAACTCTAAGGAAAATCAGAATCCAGTAAACTTACAAGGAATGGAGCTCAGTGACCGGCAACACATGTCTTACATGCTGTAACAACTTAACAGAGATAGTGATAGTGAAATGGGCAATTCAGTGAAAGTGAAAAGCATTAGTTTAGGCACTCTTTTATTGTATTTTGCTAATTGTTGTGTTTTTTATAAAAAATAAGATTATTAATATGTTGCAGTGGCGAAATAATCAGAATTTGCATGTGCAATCCCCTGATAATTTCGCTCTTAAGGAGGGAGGAGTTATATAACCTCGTGTGTCACCACCATAATTATATTTTATATAAACAAAACCATTGCAACATAGTAGTACAAAGATCCTTTATATTTCAATAGCCGAAATGCTGTTACATGATTTACGAACCACTCTTAGTTCTTACTAAGTAACGTTTCCTTGTAGAGCGTGAGAACAATGTGTCAGCAGAACGGTCACGTAGGCCTTTAAGAATAGGATATAAATATAATAGAATACTTGTAATATTCAGTATTAAACGGACCTCAAATCGGACCGGTTGTATTCATTTTAACTTTAAGTTTTTAAAAAACCCTTATTTCGCGGACCCACTACTTGACTATCTTGTTTTCTATGTTATGTGTTCTCTGTAAGTGTTTGTATGTGTTTCGTTAGTGTGCCTTTTGAAATAAAATAAAACATAAAATAAAATATATTTTATAACAATTTAATTTATGATTTACGAAAAGAAATGTTTGTAATTTTTTTTGTTTCTGTTTTTTCTACACCTTCATATTTTTGAGGAGGGGGGTTTGGCTCCGGGAATCTCTCTCACCGCAAGAAACGCGAGTACACTAAGGCGAACCTATTGCATCACTTCACGCCGGTTTTCTAACAGTACTGCCCCGGTCGTGCCTGCCCATTTGGCTGAAGCCCGAAAGCAACAGCATGGCACTCCCACTAGAAAGGAGTTGACTGATTGGGCTGATGAAATTAAATAAAATAAAAAATTTGTGCGCGCATCGTAAAAAATACTCTCATAATTTTTCCCTAACGCGCCAAAAGAAGTATCACTTCAAAAATCCTATATATCAGTGCAATCCGAAGCAAACCGCTAGTCTAATATAAGACACAGATATCGAGATCACACACGTTCAAGATAGCCGAGGGATTAGTACATTGATTGCTACAAATATTTGCCCGAGTTGCCCGGCATTGATTTTCTGTTTACTTATAAGCTTTGGAAGGAATGAGTTATTAATAGACAGTTTATTGAGCGAACACGTCAAAATGATATCATCTTTATACGTGAGAGGCAGGACGCGTTTCCGTCTTTTTGATTATAGGGTTTCTTCTGAATTAATTTGATCTGTTTAGAGTCTATTATTCGCAAGACGAATTCCCATTGAGTAAATTCAATTTGAACTAAGGCGATTTATCACCTTTTTAATCTATAACGGCAACACTTATATCCAATGCTTTTTTGACATACCCGAGCCATGCTTATTACATTGGTGTATGACATACGTGTTTACCTTACCCTCAGAGTCAATCATGAACTTGAATGGTTGCTTTAGCTACTAAAAGTCATTCCCAGTCACTTAGTCCCTTTAAAATCGTTTAGCATTCATTATAACTAACCTAAATTCATTTCTAAACTCACTAATGGACATAATTTGACGTTGTCAAACAAATACATTAGGTAATTTCAATAGCTATGAAGTTTATAATGCGTTTAGAAATATGTGGTTGAAATGCTCTAAAGTCCAAACAGTTTCGGCATTATGGTTGCATAGAAATGGGAATGCGGCATAATTTTATGACCTTTGATAACCCTTGACCAGACTCATGATTTAATGATATAAACAAATGCATTTAGATTCAATATAAAAACTTTAAACCAAATATATGATGGACACAATCTTATTACATAACTACACTGAATTTCTTAAATTATATTTAAAATTTCTTTAATACTGACTTTTATTATATATAATTTTTACTCATATAAACGTGGCAGCTGTGTAGAAATAGCTGTTATAACACCACGACGAGTTTAAATTGTTTTAGACACCCAGTGTATATTGAATTTATTTTCTTACCCAAGGGAATTTGTCTTCAATTGGAAATGGTCTACTCCGGCCCTCAACGCACTGTGAATAATAATTAATTGCATAATCATCTGAATAATTTAACTTTCAAATAAACACTAAATAAAATAAAATACAATAGGAAAATTATTGAAATCTGTAATTACTCGATAAAATACTGAGTTTTTGATAAACGTTTGCGATATCCTAGTTTTATTAAATTTCCGTCGCTTGATTACGTCATAATTATTGGAATTGTTTATTTTAATTTTGTTAGGGTTAACTCTTGTATAAATTTGAGTCAATTATTGCAACATAAAAAAATGCATACTATACTAGATTCCAGCTAGACAATGAACCGGGGCTCTATCGACCGACCCCGGAGTCTCTCTAACGCGGCCTTGTGAACTTACCCGAGATAGTTTTAGTGGGTAATGCTCATTCAGTCTGAATAGCAGAGGTTCTGGTGTGTGGCATGGGATCCGCAAATGCACTTCCCCTTCAACAACAACATCAAAAAAGAAGATAGATAATATCGCCTTTAGTCATAGAAACTAAATCAGTCTATTTTCACTCTTTTAAATAAATACTTAGTGTGTTTACGCTGTGATGAAACGAGACAGAAATGTGCAGATATTTATGACTAGCGTGATCGATGTAAGACAATAGTCACGTGACAGGTTTAGCCCACTGAAAATCAGTGTCAGGTAATAGCAACTTAAACCTGAGTTATGCAAATTTTTGTGTTTCCCTTTTTTGTGTAATATAAGGAATATTAATCAAATTATTAATAAAAAATTATATTATATTAATGAAAAACTTTTTCCAGATAAAATTGAAAAACGTCAATGAAAGACATCATCCCAGAGTTCAGACCTTAAACGTTCCGAAACACGTAAAGACTATGCGATGATAAACATATAAATTAAATTTTTGTAGTTATAATAATTGCCTTTATTATTATGGTAGCTTTTACTCTTAGAGCGGGAGATAGTGACACAAAATATTGGGTCTTTTATGGTATGGTGGTTCTTCAGGGGTCTTATTTCGCAATGAAAAAAATAAAAATGATGGTCATAGCGCTGGTACCGGCATCCCAATCGCGTGGACTTTAGTCGAACTCGTCGGATTAACTACGAAAGTCAAACGATTTGTTTCACAAAAACTCTAGTATTTTCCGATAGTACATAAAAATAAGAGGCGGTAGTGTCATGCCATACTTCTCCGGTGTGACTTACAGCCCGCCATACCGACGCGAATGCATTAATTTAAAAAAAAAACAACCATTTGTACCAGGCCACTTTTTGCACAGTTAATCATCGTCATGCAACCATTTACGAAAATCACTATGCCATACTTTTCGGAAGGTTCCAAATGGCCGCCATACCACCGAAAATCAGCAATTTTTTTTGCCGAACGATTGTACCATTATTGACCGCCATTTTCCATTTTAATAATGTATTTCGAGAAGATAAAATTATGATATCAAGTTTGCTATACGCAAGCGAAATCAGCAGCATTAACTAGTCATTTATGAACAATCGCTTATAATGTCAATCATGCGAAGAAAACAAAAGGAACGCAATTACTAGAATTTGCCGATCCGGGCGGATATTAGTTATAACGATGGCGCGTCATGAGTCAAAGATCATTATGTCTAAGGTATTTTATGACAAAACTTTTTGAATGCAAAAAATTATTTGGTATCAAGTATAGCTATTGTCGGACGTAGGTATCAGGTTCAGTTTACTAACTTCCCAAATGTATAGAGGGTTTGATTCAAATATATATTCAAAGTGCTTGCCACGATTTTCAATTGAAATCTGTCACATATAAATAAAAAACAATTTTTCTTTCCTAGAATAAAGTTCACAAAAGACATTGCGACTTTACATGAATTACAATCTTTAATAATTATGGCTAATAAGTAATATTATGTTGATCTAAGTTTTGTTATTTGATTTAAGAAATGTAGATATTAAAGAAAACTGTTTAAAAAGGCTTACTATAAAGTTAACGATTATCTAGTTGAGAAAAGGGGCAATTTGCGATATTTGTTTTAAAATAATACTATGGCAAACATAGTCATTTTGTATGATGATTTGCTATTTTAAAAGAGTACCGAGAGTTTTTTACGCCGGCTTTTTCTCTCGGCCTACACCCTCTGTCTTCTTTGCCGTTGAGTAGGGATGTCTACCGATTCAAATTTAATGACGTGGAATAAGCGATACCTGTATCTTATGTTCCATAATAAACATATATTTTTTTACAATACTAGAAAATGGCTTAAACTAAGGTAATGTTAATTAACAGTCTTAGTGTTCTATAATGTTTTGACACTATGTTCGTGTGTCCGAGAGAAATCAATAAAATAACAAATAGAAAAAAAGTATCACTTAACAAGTAAGCCTTCTGGCGGTTTGGCCATTGTATAAAAAAATATTTTCTATGCTGTAATATCAGCATTCAGCCGCTGATCCTTTAAGAAGTTAACGGTAATTTATATAGCAGTTGACTCGTTTCGAATACGCCTACGAAGTTTTTTGGTAGATGGACTCTAATGCAGTTACATATTTTACTTTTTATGTTTTTAATAAAAATTCTGATGTAAGTGACATGTATGTTTTAATGAGCTAAACTTTTTTAAACCTAATAACGCATATTAAGTAATTGTTCACATACCTATAACTTAGTGGCGCTCGCAAGTTGTAAGAAAGATCTCTGGAACGCATTCGTCGGCGCTTGTCCCCTTCTCGCCAGCTGGCATAACTTCTCGCAAATGACACTGCACTACACGTCACATTTACAAAATCCACCGACATATCAACACTCTCTATTGTCTCATTTACACTCTCAATTCTCGAATCAAACTCGAAGGAATTATTCACATTTGTGTAGTTCTCGAATGTATGATTTGTCAACTCGAACACTCCGTTATGTTTAGGACTAGAATAGATGTACACTTTGTCGAGTTCCGAGTCATTTTGAGTTTTGATCAGATTGGCGTGAGTGAGGGTATCGTTTCGATAGTAATTTTCAAGGGATGTGTACCAGGCTTCTAGGATTGCAATATGCGTGTCCAACTCACGACACGTTAATCGAAACTCGTCGTCATGGCAACGTTGTTCTTCAACGATCTCTGTAAAAAATATTTAAGATGAATAAAATGTAGAACTAAAATAAATCAAAATTAACTCTCAAAAAGCTAAACAGATGTTATAAGGACAGTGATAATTGGGTTTCTGTGCTCAAATAGATGAACAAAATTAACACTGACATGAAAAATATATTGAAAAATATTTTTTATACATTTTGAAAGTATATTGCCAACTTTACTCCTGTCGAAGTTTTTGAAAAATATATTTATTCTAATTAATCTTCTTCTCCTCATAGTGCCATCTCCTTGCGAAGGTTGGCGACAGTGACTGGCTGGGCTGGCAAAATGCCACGGGCCCCCGACCCAAAAGGTAGACCCTGCCCAAGAGATATTATGTTCTATGGATGAATCTGAAGTCTCCAGTACGCATTGGGCTAGCGTGGGGACTACAGACCATTTTCTCTCGCCTAAGAAAGAAGCCCTATGGCCATTAGTGGAACATATACAACATGTTATTGAGTACGCTGAAAATCTCGAAGTTTATTGAAATTAAACTGAGTACAACGTGACGATTTCTACTGATAGGGCCCCATCTAAAGTATTTGCCACGGGCCCCAGATGGTATAGTTACGCCACAAGTGGGCCATCATCATAGCTAGTTTAATTTTGATGCCACGCTTCTAAACAATGACTTGGTGCTTTGACCAAACCAGTGTCTTAAGTTTTTCAACCAAGACGTGTGTCTGCGGGTCTCATTCTAATTAATAAAAAAGTTAAATCAAGCCTAATAAAAAAACTTACAAAATATTGCAGTGTTTGTCGTGATCATAATCAAATTAATCATATTATTCATGTATCTCTAACAAAAGGGATTAAATATAACCTCTCCTACATAGAAAAAATAACTGTATGGAAATGCCGTTAGAATGATTTGATTGATTTCCTAACTAATGCGTTCTTCCTGTTCAAATCCTATAACCTACATTACGTTAAACGAATATTAATGATTCAGGACATATTCTTAACACACAACTGTTCCAAAAATCTAATAACAATCAAATATGTAGTTACAATTTTCTTAACCTACACAGTAATAATAAAAATAATTAAAAATTAATAGATGGAAAATTTAAACAAATTTATAAAGTTTGTCCCTGTGGCAGTGTATCTTTAACGATGGCAACTGACCCAAAATTGTTTTTACACGCTTTATTTTTACACGCTTTATATTAGCTTCACCTGTATGTATGTATGTATGTATGTATGTATGTAACCGAAATGAAATGAAATAGTAGTTTATTCTTGCAAGTAGGACTATATAAATCACTTTTACAATGTCATCCTAAACTAGATGAAGTCGACATTTCCTAACTGACTGCCCTGAGAAGAAATGTCGAAACAAACTCGGGGGTCTTAGTCTCTTTTATAGTCCAGATAATACAATAATAAATTAATAAATTGGTGTAAACAAATGCAGAGTATTTACTGGACTGGTCTTTGGAAGAAAGAACCAGATCGATCTGAGCAAGCCTGTGCCAGCAGACGGCAAGCATGCCCCGAATAGCTCATGCAGCTCAACCATTTTTGAGGGAGCTGCACAACCCGGTACACAGCAATACCGCCGACTCCTTCGGACTCGATTTTGACCCGCTTTTATCGGACAGATTTAATTCAAACTTTGCGCACCTGTCAAAGATCGATGACAATGCAATAATCCGAAAAAGAAATGAAAAAAATAAAAAAAAATTTAACTAAAAAATAAATAATAGTTAAAAAAAACTAGAACACACGCTTTTAAAGCACATCAAACTAAAAAGTGAAAAATAATTCCTAATTTAGGCTGAAAATGGTAATGAACAAAAAATACTGGTATTATTGTGAAAAAGCGTGGGGCGCTCTGTTCTATCGAGCAAACCATTTTCAGCCTAAATTAGGAATTATTTTTCACTTTTTAGTTTGATGTGCTTTAAAAGCGTGTGTTCTAGTTTTTTTAAACTATTATTTATTATACATTAACAACTTACATACTAAGAAATTATTAATGAATTTTGTATTTCAAAGAGAAGATAATGCTATGATTCGGTTGTTGCGAGACTTGAACCATACAAAAATACGAAAACCATAACAAGCCTTCTATAGACCGATAAGCCTTTATTCACTGACAATTTACCAAAACAACTAAATTTACATAAACCAATGTTGGTGTTGTATTTAAAAAAGGGTTTCATCATGTGAAAAATAAATGTTAGCTTTCGTGCAAAGAGACAAAAAAAATACATCTTCTCTCTTAATACGAGTTTATCGACTGAATTCGTACGAATCTAGAACTCGCTGCTATTTTAAAGAGAGCTACGGTTTTATACATTTTTAAACGTGTAACGGTGAATGCTAATGGAAATTTTTATACCTTTCTTTATAGCGAAATACGTTTCTTGTTTTATGATAATTGGATAAGATAGTTGACCTAATTCTGGTTGCCCTGCATTCTGTAACTCACTTTTCGAACTCACACAGCGGTTTTCGCATCGGCGGTCGCTCTATCCGTCGTGTCATTTTATGATTTGGCATTCTGAAAAGGTGGGAGCTTGTAGTTTATTGTTTATCAGAATGCCAAATCATAAAATGACTGCTTCCGACTGATTTGAGAGCGACCCCATGAAAACCGCTGTGAGTTCGAAAGTGGTTACAGAATCGCAGGGCAGTAGTCTGGTACTCTCGATTTCTCCTCAGACGGTAAGAAAAATATTTCGGAAAAAGGAATTCGATCGAGTTCCCTTACTGAATCTTGATTTCTCTTGAAAATCGCCATCGCAAATTCGATGAGATTGTTATTATTACTGTCGTCCGTAATGTTAATTTTAAAGTCAGTACGCACGTCCGGTGCATTTCAAACGATCGATACAACAAATTGACACATTTCACAATAACAATTGACCTGTAAAATTTTTGTCTATGTATAATGTATATCGCATTCTAATAGAATAAATTACATTTCGTTTCCCTTATTACGATCTTCTTTAGATACTTCGTAATACATATATATTTCTTAAAGGAAGAAAATTAAAACCATATTAGTTACGTAACTTAATTTTATTTGCGTCGCTATATTAATTATTGCGACGTTACCGTAAACCGTTCTTACTTCACTTAACAACACTAAATGTGTACACAACATGTCCTCTACAGAAATACGTGGATAACAATATCTCAAAGACTACAGAACCGATTTTGATAAGTTTTTTTTTCATAAATGGGATAAAGAGCCTAGGGGCAGCCATAAGTAAGTACCGCAGATGAACCCATGTCAGTAACAAAACGTGATGGCCGGCCTTTTGTAAGTAAGCAGAACTTGGAATATACCTGATACTATTTAAACAATATCAATATAAGTTCAAACTGTAACCTCCTTTTTAAGTATGTTAAAAATAAATACCAATTCTGTTAAATATTTGTATTGAGGTTTATAGAAAAATATATAATGCTTTAAAACGGCAATCTACGCAGTACTCGGTAGTCTCATAATTAATATTCATTAACATTTTTTTAATCTACACGACCTTAGTATACAACCTTCAGAACCTTTTTGGCTTAGTTAACAAAGTATTATGAACTCGGCTTAATCCTGGATTTGAGAATTAATTAAAAAGCTCCAACATAAAAGATATTTAGTCATATAACAGAGCATAGTTAATATTTAGATTAGAAAGGAACATCTTGAAATATTCATAAGCAGTACAAGATTTTACCTTGAGTTTTTAATATTAATAAATACTTCATTTGTTAGAGAATGTAATGTTTCTATTTATTTTTAAATATAAAATTACAATAATATAAAATGTTAATTAATATAAATTAACACGTGATAAGAATACACTATTCAACTATACATAAATAATTTAAAATATCGAATTTCTATAAAATCATTGTTTCAATTAGTTGATATTTTAACTTAGGACATTATCCCTATATTACAAAATTTGACTAGGCTTATATATATAAATAACAAATACTGACTGTCAGTTTTTGTGATAATCCATGAAATTGGATTATATATCAGATATTTTTTAGTAATATTTGTCACAAAAGTATTCATAGATTCAATAAGTAGCTAGCCATTGTTTTTATACTTGAATGCTTAATTATTATATTATGTTAATGTACATTTCATTTAGGTTGTATCCGGTAAGTAATTTTTTTTAACAATCTATGGCATTTAATATAGACCTAATGAATATTTAACAGCGCTACAGATATTGGACAATAATTATCCTTTAATACTAGAGCAAAGGCCAGTTATTATACATGCACAGATTGGGAGCAGTCAGACTAATGTAATTTAGCAGTAGCAGTGTGCATTGCAAAATAACCCTCATTGTCTATCTCTTTCATTCTTCACCTTGTGCTTTATAGCTATCTCTTTCCCTTAGGTTTACCCTCAAGCACTCCCAATTTGGATCAAACGTTTCCATGGCAACCATCTCAAACAACGTCATTTGTTGACATTACCAGTTAATAATGACCCCTCATTGCTTGAAAAGTTGTTGAATTAACCCTTTTTGAGAGATCTATCAAAATTGGCTAGATAACTCTTCGACATGAGATTAATGAGACTAGAAAATATACGTTAAATTAAGGAGTTAGAGAATGATTTGCTTTAATTTGTTAAAAGAGTGTTGCATAAAGGGACATTTCGTATTTTAACCTCTCAATTATAATTTAACATGAACGATATCACGCATTTTGAATTTGAAAATGCTTTGAGATTTCAAGTGGCTCAATCGAAATTTGAATTAAAATAGTGAAAACTCGGCAGTTTAAAAATATATAAATGTAAAGTTCAGGTTTCACAAGTTATAAAGTATATTTTTATTATTGATGCAATGTATTGATGGAATACAATTTTATTCATTTTTGTGTCTTAATTAGAATTAATAAAAACGGAACATAGAGTAATTTATACTTTAGTACAATTTTCGCCAATGTTGCCAGTAAATTAACATCCCTAATTTGCGGCAAGGCTGTACTTTGCTGCCAAGTTAGTTTTGGACGTCTTCCTAAAACGTGTCGTAGCATATTTTAACTTATAAGGTCTTTTATCTTTCAACACAGAAAAATTAAAACTTCGTATTTTAAAAGCACATTATTTCTTTCTGCAAAACAATGCTAGCAATGGAATGTTATTCAATGTATTAAAATCCGTTTAAACAAAAAAATTTACAGCAAAAAAAAAGGTTTCACTTAAATTTCAAGAATGTATAATGCTGAAATCATTAATCCTTCAATTCATGTTACTATAAGGAACTAGTTAGTTATCACGAGTATTATGACGTAGGTTTCTCAACCAGCGAGTCAAAACATTTACCTAGGCATAGCCTAGCCAGACAGTTAACCCTTCTAAAGCCCTACATACTACGGTTTTGTAGGAGGCACTTATCTAAATGTTGGCGCCCCGAATCAATGACGATCGTAAAACAAACTATGACACAATGCCTTTAATAGTTAGAGTATGACATTTCTTTAACTTTAAATTGATATATTAACACTAGAAATGAAGTCGACTCGACTTCGGTTAAGCTTTATTGAGGCTGATGATACAGGAAATATAGTTAATGTCTGTACAGTGTACGTAGACACAATTGCACTTTTGAAAATCGAATGTTGTCATTCTACTTGTGATAGAACAAAAACTCGCAAACGCTTATCGAAATTATTTAAAAGATTTTATACAACAAACACTGCTGAATATACGATTAAATCTCACGATTTACACACGAATTTATACCTACTGAGCAGATGTACACACATGCACCGCAAACTCCCTCAACATTCATAATCGCGACTTAACATAAAGACGTTTTACATCTATCAAAAGCACTTGTTGTACAGACTTCGTATTGTCAAAATTTAGTGAAGGGAGCTGTAGAAATCAATTCGTCGTACAGTACGTAAGTAGTTGAGGGTGCTACCCTAGGGATGAGGGTAAAGATACAACATATTTGTTTCCATCATGGAATAGATAAAAAACTACTTGGTGGAACTAAAAAACTTTACTGAATTCTTCACGAACAATATTAATATTTAAAAGGAAAACGGAAAAATAATGTTACATTGAGGTAGGTACTCATCATCATTCAGAAGAATGCGTTTTAGCCAAAACGCACCAGATTGGGCATTCTGATTATCGAGCATGTTCTGGAAGTTCATAGTTGCTCCTCACACTTTGAAATCAATTTTCCATAAGTTTTTATAATTTTTGAATTTCTTTTTCTCTTGTAACATTTGCCTATAAGTGCTTGTCACACTAAATCTTGTATTTTTTACCTAAACATGTCACACATATGCATAATATATGAAGTGTGATAATTTAATAACACTTTATACTTGCCGCTTTAGCTCACTTGATCCTTGAATAGATTTCAAAGAACAAAACATATTTTGATGAAGATACAAATCACGTACACAGTAAACACTGTCTATATAAATGTATTAATTTATTTAAAAAATCATAAGTTACTCCCGTAAAATGAATACAGAAAATCACTTTAAATTCACACCGTATCGTGTTATATAATGGAAACAAGTTGAAGTTCTTCCTAAAGCTCTGATAAGCACGGACGTTAGAGGCTGCAGCTTTATCAAGCTTTTCACAATTTTGCTGAGGTATCTTACCTTGCTTGAATAAACTTGAGTTAATATTGTGAATTTAAATATATATAATTATATTTAATCTTGCCAGCGTTTTTTCCGTCAGGCAGTAAATGTAAATGTTTACGTTTTTTTAATACAGAACTGAACAGACGTTTGGCCCCAATCCTACCTGATGTTAAATGAGAAGTGGCCTATTGGAGGGCACGCCTGTTCAGGAGATGCTTATTTAACTTATTAGGGAAGATAAAAGAGTGCAAGGAGTTCCACTCCTTTGCTGTTTTTATAAGAAACGACGAACCAAATTGTGCAGTTCAGCAACTGGGGATGTCAAGAACGAAGGGTACACTCCAGAGTGCCAGAAAGTTTGATTCACTTCACATTGACCTTCATAAGTATGAATTTTGATACTTTAATGAATTCATATTTTGATTTATTGTCATTGTGACACACAAGCTAAGCTTACATTTATTGCGAATGAATTGTAAGAATATTGTACAAAGCTAAAAATAATATTTTTCAACGTATTAATGATCTGTATTTTGTTTCTGATCTAATGAAAAGGTTTTAAATTTAAAACCGTTGTAGCAATAAAGAAATTGTTTAGTTGTTTCATTATTCAGTGTAATCTTAATTATCATTGCTTTCACTAAATACTGTTAAAATTATTAAATTAAATGAGCAGTCCTTACTTTATTAAGAGCTCGCAAAATATAGAAACACAACACGCCCTCCGAAAGCTATGCAATCGGCTCGCTTTAATCAATTATTAAAATGGTACTAGATTCACAGCCACCGTTAAGGTTAATAAAAAATAAGGTGCTTTACGGGGGAATGAACATTGTATTCGTACATTACAGTACATTACAAAAAATAATAACTGTTCTTGAAGTAAGAAAACATTTAATTGTAGCATTCCACCTGCCTAAAACAAGCAATTATTACACCTGTGTACAAGAATGGTAACAGAGAAGATGTTTCAAATTATCGCCCAATCTCCGTTCTCACTGCCATATCAAAAGTACTTGAAAAATTAATTAATAAAAGACTAATTACCTACCTCCAGAAGTATAGTCTACTTTCAGACTCACAATTCGGTTTTTAGACAGGGTCTGTCAACCGAAAGATGCAGTTACCTCACTATCTTGTCATATTGTTAATGAAGTTGATAAAGGTAATAAATGTATCACAGTTTTTTCGACTTAAAAAAGGCATTTGATACGGTTTCTGTCCCTACTCTGGTGCAGAAACTAGAGAACATTGGTATTAGGGGTATTCCACTCACATTGTTCGCTGATTACCTCAGTGAACGAAAGCAAGCAGTTAAAATAGGTCAATACATCAGCGAACAATCTGACGTCACATATGGGGTCCCACAAGGTAGTGTTCTGGGCCGACCTTATTCTTAATCTACATAAACAGCTTATGCGATTTAAGAATTGATAGTGGGAAAGTCTACTCCTACGCGGATGACACTGCTGTTGTCTTCACTGGGAAAACTATTGACTCGGTGCGTCGACATACAGAAATAGGGCTTTCCAAAATAGATAACTGGTTAAGAGAAAACTTATTATCATTAAACGTAAGTAAAACTAACTACATTTTCTTCACTAAATACAATAGCGCCCAACCTCAAACAGATCTAGAAATAAAAATACATAACTGTAGCACCAGAGTAAACTGTACATGTAAAACTATAAATAAAGTTCATCACACTAAATATCTAGGAGTGGTAGTTGATCAAAGAATGTCATGGCATGAGCACCTAGAACAAGTTAAAAGTAGGATTCGAAAGCTTATTTGGACATTTAAAACTCTAAGGCACATCGCTGACAAACATCTACTAATACAGATATACACATCGCTGGCTCAGTCAATTTTAGTGTACTGTATCCCAGTTTGGGGGGTGCTACAAAGATGAAGTTCCTGGATCTGGAGAGGGCACAAAGAATTTTACTAAAAGTAATGATGTTTAAGCCTTATAGATTTTCCACCTCTGATCTTTATGCCTCTTGTGGTGTCTTATCGGTCAGGCAACTGTACATTTTTTTGCACTACCTTAAGATTGCACAAGTCTCTTAAATATGATGGTCGCAAACTGAGCAAAAGACGCAAATATACTGTTGCTCTGTTGAGAGATCTAAATCAGTTTTTGCTATGAGACAATTTCAATGCCAAGCTGCTAAACTTTATAATAAATTAAATAAAATATTAAATATATACACATTGAATAAACATGAATGTAAAACGTCGCTACTTAACATCCTAGAAACATTTAGCTATGAAGACACTGAAGCCTTTGTAGGTAATCATGAATCATAATACACTAGTAATTAGTCAACTTCTACAATCAGTCATGAAAATTCATTCTCATAAACACACAAACACACACACACACATACACATACACACATATATCATTATTCACATTTTAACCTTAGATTATGTTTAGTAAATTGTAAAAATTGTAATACTTAGCTTAGCTATACGTGTTAAATTAAATTATAATTAGTTAGTACACCTATGTAATGGAAGAGCGGGTTCTCCTAACACAAGTGCTTATGCGCTTAAAAGGAGGTCCCAATCACTTATCAGCTATTGTAAAATCTTTGAGATAACGAATAAAAAAAAAAATTAATAAAAATTGTGATAATTTGATACATATATTGCCACGTTTACACGTGATGTCAGTTTAAGCTTTATTCGTCAACTTTTTATGAAACTTTTACTTATTTTTTATATTGGCAGATTTTAAGAATAGGCTATTTGAAAGTATGAAAAATATACTGTAACCGAAAGTAAACCTTACAAAATATTTAAGCTTTAAAGAAAA